GCAGTGGATTAACAAGAGTGTCGTATATGTGATAGTGTTTATGGATTTTGGGCTATATGTGGGTCGAGATATAATTTCAATAGGTGTTGAGGCCACAATTAAGCGGCATGGAAAAACTTCCAAAGTGCTTTTCAAGTTCACTTGTTTATTCATTATTTAATCTATAATGTGGCTGAAATAGGAAACCCATCGAGTCTCACATTAGCGGAACTTTGCCACTGTATTCTCGACCCGGAATTTTGCTTATCGCTTCATAATGCCTCATGTGCTTTTAGAACGTGCGGTCGTAGAGTTACTTTGTCAACAGCTATAGCACAATCACTTAAATCAAATCCTCTACAGTGCTGGAATGAGTTATTGCCGGTGTAAGACTCGGGGGTGAAACAGAGTTTGCAGGAAGGTCACGCACATGTGTTTGTCTTTCGGGTAATTTTATTTTTCCTCAAGCACACAATTGCCTCGTTCAGCACACGTGGTTGCAGCAACATTTTGGCAGCAGCAATATGTAAATGATTGCTAATTGACTCAGGAAAGCTTCTCTCAGTCTCAAAACTCCCTTTTCACGTTTCACCTTTGGGATATTTGGCTCTTCTCTTTCATTGACATTCATCCAGACGAGTCGGTGCTGCCAATGCACCTGGCTTGCAGGCACCAGAGTGAAGGTCTTGGCCTGCGCACGGACAAAGCAGGGGCCATCCAGCTGATGGCCCGTGGGCCAAAGCGGACACGTGAACTCGTCGAAGTGGCCATGATGCCTCGCAACCTACTGCCAAAGCACAACAAGGCGTAGCGAATAGTCAATAGAGGCACGGTAGATTCTCGCTTCAAAAAACACGGAAACGAATTCGAGAGGGGAAAGGGAAGAGGTGGAGAAAGTCAAAACACCTTAAACGAGAATCGTGTCGACTCTCGAGATGGGAAATAGAAGCAGTCTGGGTGACGAACTATGATCGACTGGTGAAGCGGCCCAATAAATTCTGTAATGATCTGGAGAAAATCCTGCCACGGGAACGGATGGGTTGGAGTCCACTGGCCGGCGACACCAACTATCAAACACCTGGTTTAGGTAGGTACAAATACCTCATGTGTTGATAATTAAAATTGGTTGGTTCCCACTGGAAAAAAATTGGTATTAGAACATTAGCAACAATACCACAGCTGGTACTGTGGAGGAGGGACGGGCCACTCCCTAACTGTCTGCTGACAAACAACCCGTAATGCCTGTCGAACGTATGAGACAATATCAAAGTTGCTGCCTTGCAGACGACCTATGACGGAATGTTGGGGGCCCTGGCCCAGTAGAATGCCACGGTCCTGGTAAAATGGGGCCTCAGACTCTCGAGAGGCAGCCTCTCGGTCAACGCATAACAGCAAGATGCAGGACTTGAGCCAAAATGAGTTTGGCTCAGGCCCTGCATGTCCATAACAAAGTGGCAGATACAGGGTTGGCAGGTATAACTCCTGCTGGAGGTGAAACGTGGATTCCACCGTTGTAAAAACACCGTGGGGAAATGTTGAGGACCACCTTGTTTGCCTGGAAGTTCATGAACAACAAATGCACGAGCAAAGCCTGATTGTCGCCGATCATTTTTGCCGATGTTATTGCCAGCCAGGAGGAAGAGGATATTTAAAGCCATAAGATTCCTTGTGACCATCAGCTCTAACAGCTGTCCTGAAGACGTCCAACATCAATCTTAGTGCCTTGGTGTGATCGTGGTCCAGGAACGCTGAGATTGCTGACAAATCACACCTCGATGGACTATGTTAAATGTAACCCAGCTGGAACTCCTGTTCGAGATGAATTGCATTTGCAGTGCTGGAAGATTGCAGGACAGAGGATCAATCACTGGCCCTGACACTACGCAGAAAAGGTCCTGGCTTGCAGGCACCAGAGTGAAGGTCTTGGCCTGCCTAGTCAGAGGTGTAGGCCCTGACTGTGGAAGGCCGTATGGACTGTTGTACTTCAATGGAGATTCCCCAGTGAGAGAACCTAAGCCTTGCAATATCCATGATACAGTGGAATTAAAACTCTGGACACATTGATGCCCTGTGGATGCAGCAGCAGCTCGTCCCATCTTGGGAGCTTCCATTGCGGCTATACCAGATTCCAGAATGTAAAAAAAATACGTTAATTTAAAATATATATTTGGTAGAGAAACGTACGAAAAGTGACATCACATTTTCGGAATAAAACCGAAACATTTTATTGATGGTACAAGATTTTGTATCTCGGTTCAGTTGTATATTTTCGGATTCAATCTGCATCTAAATGTAATCGGCACTAATTATAACCATTTGATGGCACTTCATATTACAAATAAAAGTCCAATGGTTAATATCCCAATGAAAGTTAGGATACACTAAATCTAAAAATGAAATCTTTAATCCCAAATCCTAACATCCCCCAAAAAATCTGAATACCATTCCAAAAATACTTGAAAATGCAACTTCACTTGACTTATTAAATCAAGAAACACAAAAATCTCAAAAATACGAAAGTTATTATTTTTTATTTTCTTTTATTACGTAGACGTACAGAATGAGAACATCAAATTCATTCTCCTTTGGCATCAATAATAGTAACATTTTTTGCACTAATATGTACAGGAAAGTACGTTCAGATATATATCCCTGATTTAGCTCTTCACATTAGGACGTCAATAATCACCCGCGTTGCATTAAAATTAGGAATCACATGGATACACTGGCTATGAAATTAGCCAATGCATCACACAAACTGGCTTGCGCAAACTAGTCTAAGGTTTATTGGTTATTTAACAAATTGAAGCAGTTTAGAAAAAAATAACAAACGTAAAAAGATGTTAACATATAATCCATTGTGCACACGTAACGTGTTGCAGGCTAGATATCACATGACCCATTGTGGTCTCGATGCATGTGGAAGGTGACGTGTGTATATGCGACACGCGTCCACGTGGCGTGCGGACTGCAGCGTGCTACGCGTGCACGCTGTACACGTAGGCCATGCATGCACGGAGTACGGAGTGCACACATTATTAGCATGTACACTTAAGGCACAGAGGAGACATACGTGTTTTTTTACATTTAGTATACAAAGAGCATGTACACAAATGGCACACACGTCGTGGCGTGTATACTTATGGATGACATTGTTGCGACAGATGATGCACGAATAACACACAGCATGTACACATAGGGCACGCACATGACATGTACACAGGAGCAAAGGCAAAGATCCCCCGTATAGCCTGAGACTGTTGGGGCATGTGCCGTAAGTGAGCACCTATTAAGACCGACACGGCACACGAAGGCGGTGGGTGGCCAGCACCATGCCCGCCCGCCTTTCTGTCCCCAATGCTGACATTTACACACCCTCACCAGGTAGTCATTTAAGGCTGAGTCGACCTAGGGGAGGCACCGGACCGGTTCAGATATTTGCCACGGATATTGGCCACGAGCGGGAATCGAACTTGGATGGCCAGGTTCGTTGCAAATTGCAGCGTTAACCAATGCGCCACCGCTCCCCCTCCTGTGTGTACGTATATATGCACACACATACAACCCAGCATGTAAGACACAGAGGTAAGGAAAGCACAACATTTTTTTCTCACATTGACTCAGGCTTGGTTTCGCTGGAGACTAGCCATGCAAAGTGTGTACAGATTAACACCCCACGCCCAGTATAACACAGTACATGGTCTTATGGTTAAGGGCGTGAGACCAATGTTTTAGGAATGGGATCGGTAAAAGGGCCACATTTGTCAATGGATTTCTTTAATTGAGCAAGGCTCCACACCATTGCACGTGTGGTTCCACGAGTTGCAGGAATGTAGATCTAGGCTTTAGCCCTCTCGTGTCTAAATTATTAGCAACAAAACCTAAAACAATTGCTTTTGATTTAATGCGATTTAAGGAAATGTGTGTGGTTTTTTTTAAGTGTCATTCTTATTTCCTAGCACTTGCAAATATCACAGCAGCCTGCCATGACAGACGCGGTTCGTGAGAGGGTAAAATAATCCACACGTACCATGCTGATTGTGAGATGACATTTCTTTGATGTGACATTCCCAAAACATTTTTCAACCGCCCCTTTTATAACAACTCCACATTATAAATAAGCCCGATAATTCCAAACGTTCTGCGTGAATCTCATTTTTTTTTTTTACGCAGGATTTTGCAATTAACCGGCCGGTTATATTTCATCGAACAAGTGGTTCGGTTTAAATAAACTACTTGCAATGTTCTGATTGAAAACACAAGACAATTTATGTATATATATTAAAAACAGTTTAATGCCTTTTAAATCTTTTCCTTCTGTTACACACAAACATTTCCTATCCTATATTCCCATCTAAAAATCTGTGTGTCCCGAAATTATTACGTCTAAACCCCTATGTATCATTTGGTTCAATGTACATCGCTACACATAATAACATTTGCATGGGATTTTCCGTTCAACCCTCAGCGGTGACGGCCTGCCCCCTTATGGGAGCACCCAGGCGTAGAGGTGAGCAGTGCCCGCTGTGGCAACGGGCCACTCGAGATGGGGCCACACCTGGATTATGGTTGCAGGGGCGACGCTGAGCAATGCCGCTGCTTGGAGGTTCTTCGATAAGTCCGTGGTCTGACAAAAACAAAGGCTGACCTTGATATAACGATGTTATTTTTCTACATTGCGCTTGCTTGGTCCGTGCACGTTCGAAGGATTGAATCCACATTTGTGAGAACTTTTAAGCATTGCTCCTCAAACCACTTCCTTGCCACTGGGAAAAATGAATTTCTCTGCAAGTTATTTCTTCACTGTGGGCACGTGTCGAAGTCACTGGAGGCCAGGCCTGGCGAGTATGGATTTTTACAGACTTCTCTGGCTCTTTATGACTTCTACCATTTCGAATGTGCTTCTGCGGCCGTCTGGAACGCTCTTCCTTCCGATATTAGGAAGCCACTGGAGCTATGCACTTTTAAATCATCTAGATTGAAAACTAATTTGTTTAGAACGAATTTTTGTGTTTAGTTTTGTTGTCCATCTCCCGCACCTCCGATCACGGCGCGTTTGGCTGCGTACGGTGCGAAAGAAGTTCAACGTACACATTTAGCGACCCAAAAAAAAAAACAGTGTTGCAAAAATATAAAAAAGCAACCCAGAGTTATTCTATTTTTGTTAGGTTTGGTAATCCTTGTTAAAAAATATTGTACTTTTAACTGAACATTTAGTCCTTGTTATAGCACCGCTCATTCTACGTCACTTCAGGGACTTGTCCATCGCCGCTTCACATTCCTCTCTTCAAGCTTGCAACGCACACAAGTTATGAAATGATCCTCTTGATGTTGAATCCCAACTTTGTAAAACAAAGCTTTAAAAAATAAAATTAAAACACAAACCAAGACAGAAAACGTAGTGGCATTCAATAAATCCACGCTACTCGACATTTATGCACACACGGTATGTATATAAAAAAAAATTACATCAAATACGCGACGGCAATAATGGAAAATGAAATGGCAGACGATTGTAATAGCGCGAAATAAAAACTAAAATTTTCGAATAAAATTTGTAATTCTCTGAACTACGATTCACATGCTCGATTAAAGGTGGCGCCTCAAAGAGAGGCAAGGACGCCAATACAGCCACTGCAGCTCTCACACCTCCCCATCAAATGTGGAACGTTGGGCCAAATTGGAACCCATCCCCTTGGGCCAATGGGTTCTAACCACGCGCCAACATTGACCCCCCAAGGTCGCGTGCTTACTGGGCCCTTGCCACCTCGGTTCAAGTAAAGGTACAATGGCTATAGCGAGCGCTCCAAGCTGGCAGTATCCTTGCGCGAGATATTAATCATGGGTGTCTCGTCTCCCAAACCGCAGAAAACGTATATCTCCACTTAGCTGCTGTTCCGTCTGCTGTAGAGACAAAGACAAAAAACATTCTATTCTACTCTTCAGCGTCTGCGTTGTAATGCCAGGCAAAAGAATAACTTAAAAAAAAACTTTTAAATGTGTTGATTTTACTGTACCTGAGTATCACAGTTTCAGGCATTAAAAATATTGATACAAAACATTAAGATTAGGTTTGATCATTCGTACCATATTACTGAATTTATTTAAGGCTATGAGAGTACGACCATGGATGCGGGTCGGTTTGAAGCAGCTGGATTCACAATCATGCGAAGATGAGTTTAAAAGCCCAACCAGGGCTAACTCAACCAATCATCATCATTACTCCAAGGTCAGTAAAATGAGCACCACCCGGGTGAGAACGAACCACTTGTGAAGATGTTGTCTGTCCTGTGGAACTTACACCAATGGCCCAAAACCACCGTCGGAGTCGGCATCCTGATTGCCAAAACGCTCATTACAGCACGATGATGCACATTACCCATTTTATATTTCAATACAGGAATACAAAAATAAAACAAAGTTTGACGAAAACGGTACCAAAGTTGCAGGCGGGCGTTGGGTAACGTCTCGTCATCACAGTGGCAACTGCGCTCGACCGTGCTCGTAAACTTCCCTCGCCTCGCCCGCAGACACCCCCACGAACGGGCGTGCGGGCGAGAGCGTGCGGGCGAGAGCGTGCACCCTGCCCGCCCGGCCCAGAGAGGGGCTTTCTCTTAGCTGAGGGCTTCTCGCTTGAGGCCACTGCCGTGGCTGAAGACGTGAGCTGCGCTGGAGGTCACGGGGCTGCCCCCCATCGTGTGCAGGTGGCGGAAGGGCTCCGCGCCGGCCCTCGTGCCCGGCGGGGGCACCGACGACGGCGGCGAGGGGTGCGGCGTCTCCGGCGACGACGCTGCCGGGGAACATCAGGGCCAGCTCGTGACGCAGAGCGCCGCACCGTTTGTTGACATTGTTTGCAGAGCGGTCACTCGTGGAAACGATATCCAGGCCGTTTAATATAATTTAGTAGATGTACCCTCACACGCACCTCCGATTAGCACGGTTGGCTACGCAATGTGGTAAAGAATTTCAACATACATATATTGCTGAAAGATGCTAAAAACTAAACTATTTTTTTTTATTTTACCAGGTAAGGCCCACTGAGCTATGTAGCTCTTTATTTAGAAGCGACCTGACCACAAATGATAGCTCAACAAAGTGGATTATCGCGTGGAAATGTATAGCAGCCAAATTACTCGAAACACGTGACGTTCATTCTCAATGCGGAGGGAAAAACTGGAGGACCCGGAGAAAAATCCACGCGACCACAGGGAGAGAAAGCACGCAAACTCCAAACTTACAGGTGTCAGGGTTGGGATCGAACTCATGACCTCCTGTAAACCAGGCGAGGCACTTAACATCGATGCAAAAGCGACAGGCGGGGAGCGCGGGCGAGGACCGTCGGCGCCGAGCGTGTGTGCGTGGTGCGGTGTGAGCAGCTCGCTCCACTCACAGACTTGGCCGTTGGGCATGAGGCCGTGCGGCAGGGCGGTGCTCATGATGACCTGGCCGCCCATGTGCTCGGGGTTCAGGTGGGAGGAGGGGTGCTGCACGTGCGGGTGCTGCAGCTCGTTCGCCGCCCCTGCGCACGCGGTCACAGTCGGCGCCCCTCCGGTTAGACCCGAGCAGAGCCGGCACGTGGAAGCAACGTGGTGCACGCGTGCGTGTCGCACATGGTATTTGAGTGCGCGTGAGCGCGTGTGCGCGCGCACGCACAGACGCGCGTGCGTGCGAGCACAGGGTATTTGCGCGCGCGCGTTTGAGGGATCACGTGCGTGCGCGCGTGTACGGATGCGCGCGTGCGTGCGAGCACAGGGTATTTGCTCGCGTGCGTGGGCGAGCACGCGCGTACGTCCACGCTCGTCCGCTCGCTCCTCACCTCCGAGCAGCATCTCCTGCAGCAGGCTGTCCACGCGCACGACGCTGAGGAGCCGCGCCAGCTGGATCTGCTCGATCATCTGCCACGCGAGGCTCTGCAGCGTGGGTAGCAGCAGCAGCAGCTGGCCAAAGCGCCCGCGCGACTCGTACTGCCGGTCCGTCACATAGTCTTCCAGGCTCAGCTGCGCCTGGAAGCGCACGTTGCGGATCCGCTCGGGGTCGCGGAGGCCCTTGGCGTCTGCCGGGCGGACAGCGGAGGAGGGGGGTGGGGGAGGCGGGGTGGGAGGTCGCAAGGGGAAGAGAACGATGGCTTAACCCTCCTTGCCGGGCGGCGCGGTGAATGAAGCACGCGGCTCGCCACTAGAAGGTCGTGACTTCAAATCCTGATCCGGCGTGGACTCACTCTGCCGTCAGCTCTCACACAACTGTGGTGAACGTATTGCTGCCTGATGTGGCGATCGACTCGCAATCATAAGGTTAATCCCAAGCCAGGAGAGCTGGACTCGGCCCATCATCACCATCCATCTCTGTGTGGCTGTTAAAAAGAGTACTGCTTTGTGGGGGAGTCAACAGCAGTCATTGCACGGACAGACTGGTCCCTCGTCTCATGGACATTGGAAATTGTATACCGCTGGCTTCTGGCTGTCTCAGGAAAGAAGGCTCACTCAACACTTGTTTAATTCAGCGATACACTTTGACTGCAGTAAGAATGTTGATCTGACCACGGGTGGCCGAGGGAGTTCATGCTGCTACTGTTATAGTTTTAATAATTGGGCCTAGGAATAAGCAGCTGTTCTCATAATATCCCAGCGACCACTTCACCACCATAATCATCATCAGCCACGATAAATCCACTGCTGGATGAATGCCTCCCCCAAGTTGTCCACAATCAATGTTTTATTCCACCCAGCCCCTGCACATGAACCGATTTCATCGTTCCATCTCCTCGGTAGAAATCCTAAAGGGCGGGTTCCGCTCCTTGGCTGCCACTCCGTTATTATTCTCAATCATCGGTCCGTCTTCCCTTCGAGCCGTGACGCGTCCTGCCCAAGCCCGCTGAGTTTTCTGAAAAGTTTGAATTGTGTCTTTGACCTCAATCACGTAGCGATTTATTTCCCGGAGCATGTGCACGCCATCATTATTAATCACTGCTTCTGAAGTCGAATTAGTCGGCAGCTCCGTGAAATTAAAACAACAAGAGGAAAGGCAAAATGAGATTGATTAGCATTCCACCGCTGATAGAGCGCTGCCCCTAACATAACACACAGACACAAGGAAGACACCTTAATTTCCTGGTCTTGTTGTTGTTGCTGTTATTATTTTTCTGAGCGAGCTCACTGCCAGCTCACTGAACCGGCACAAAATCCACAACCAGCCGGGTTGACATGGAGCTAGAATCGCTGAACTCACAATCGTGAGTGTGTGAGTTTAAACATCCAAGTTGGAGACCGACTCTAAGCCATTTTCAGAATCAGAATCTTTATTTAGACTGGAGGAAACCGACGCGCTATGAAGCCCTTTTTAACAGATGTCCAGATGTCTTTCAGAGGTTATTAACATGAGTTCCACCACATGGCCAGGTCAACACTGGATTTCTTTTGATATCCAGACCGCTCCCTGCAATAGGCCAGAGGAATGTGGAATTTTCACCACCAATTGGTAAGGGCACTAACCCCCATTCTCACCTAACCAAGGAGACACCTTGACTCTGACTTTAATAAAAAAAAAAGTGAAAGTTCATTGAGTGTTTTTTTTTTTATCAAGGTTGTTGAGCTCGGGCCCAGAGGCTCAAAACACCAAGCGTCCAGCAACAAACAGCACCATTGAAGGTTTACTGGATCAGAGTTAATGTCTTGAATTGAGAAAGTTTACAATAACTTGGGAAAAGAGACAATGGGAGTTGACCATTGTGAATATGCGAAGTAGACAGAGAGCTGTTCTTTTCCCTGCAGCATCGTGGTTGGACATGGTGTGGATGATACAAAACAGTCAATCTGCTAGGCCGACGCCTCAACATGGGTGCAGGAAACAACGAGTGAAGCTCACGGTTAGAGTAACCATAGTAGTAGAGATAGCAGAGCGATACCATCGGTGAACAAGTGCCAGATGATCGTCGGTAAAGCTGAGGCGTCGACCGCTCACCAGGGTCGAAGAACACCACAGCCTTGAGGCAAGCGAACTCGTTGTCGTCGATCTGCAGTTCCTGGAAGGGCACCACGAGCTCGTCCAGGACACGGCACGCCACGCGGCCCACGTCTGCCTCCGGGCACGAGCGAGCCAGGATGTGCCCATCGCCTGCCGCACCAACAAGACAAAGATCCCCCGTGTAGCCTCAACAGACTGTCGGGTCAAGCGCTGTTAGCGAGCACCTATGAAGGCCGGCACGGCGCATGTTGGGGGTGGGTGGCCAGCACCACGCCCGACCGCCTTTGTCTCCCCAGTGGCGATGTTTACACATCTTATCAGGTACTCATTTGAGGCCGAGTCGACCCAGGGGAGGCCCAGGACCGCTTCAGATAATCGTCACTGGTGTTTGCCGTGAGCGGAAATTTAACCCAGGTTGGCAGGTTCGTAGCGCAGCGCGCTAACCGCTGCACTACCGCTCCCCACACGCGCACACACACACCGACGCCATTTAATTGTCCGTTCGTGTTGCCGCATTCGATGGTTCACTGGTTTAGTAAATTGTTCATTGATTTGTTTGATTGTTGCGCTGCTTTTATCCTCTCATATTCTACTGGCTCGTGAGCCACGGTGGCGAGATGTTAACTGCCTCACCTGGTATACAGGAGGTCGTCAGTTCGATCCCGACCCTAACGCCTGTATATTTGGAGTTTGCATCTTTTGCCCGTGGTCGCGTGGATTTTTCTGAGAGTCCTCCAGTTTTTTCCTCCATATTAGAAACGTGCATTTAGAGTATTGGGCTGCTATACATTTCCACATAAGCTACATGGTTGAGCTATCATTTGTGGTCAGGTCGCTTCTGAAAAAGATCTATGTAGCTCAGTGGGCCTTGCCTGGTATAGTTTTAGTTAAGTTGAGAGTGTTGTCATCACTTTGTCCCGCTGCCCGCGGAATTTTGTGGATTATAGTGCTCAATTTTAAATAGGGATAGATAGACCACCGGACACAGAGACAGACGACAGGCCTACTGAAAACAGAAACACAGAACAATGGACAAACAGATGGAGAGAGAGACAGACGAACAGACAGAGAAGCAAACCAGATATGCAGGCAAGCAGGCAAATAGGCAGGCCAACACACAGACAGAAACACAGACAAACTGGCAGGCAGAGAGACAGAGCGACAATAGCGACTGCCTAACGGCAAACAAACATGCCCCACGCACGTCTTAAGAAAGTTGATGCCGGGCAATGCTCAGCAGCAGAGGCGCGGAAACGAACAAATGGCAGTGGCTCTCCTCAATGCCGTGAACCTCTCTTCGACAGGAGCCTGTCCGTGTGCCGGCTGGGCGCGACGCGCCGGAACGTACCCAGCAGCAGGACGTCCTTGTAGGTCATGGAGCGCTTGGCCACGCCCAGCAGGAGATGCTCTCCCGCGTGGGCCCTCAGCAGTGCCACCTGCACGACGCCGAGAGAGGGGAGCGTGCGACGCGTCACGCGCGCTATGCGGCCCGGCGGTCGCGAGTGGGGGATTCGCTGCCGCTTGCCGCAGAGGTCCACACGTTATCGGGTTCCGGGGCTATCTCCCGGTTAACCCTCTCCAGGTTTCTAATGACGTGCGTGTACGTCATACATTTTTCTTCTGATTCCAAACATACGTGTACGTCACCGGAATGGAACCGGAAGAAAAACTGAAGTAAAATAACTTTTTCGAACCGAGGCTCCCACAAGGTCATCATTGCGGGAGGGCGTGTGGCACAGTTTGGCGCCAGCTATCATAGAGTGCGGTCGTGTCGCTACAGTTCTCTGCGGTGAGCACAATGTTTTTAAAGACAGCGGCGCTACGCCTCTCTAAATAAAATTAACGCCGAGCCGCTTACGCCTTCCGAGATTCAGCGGTGAACGGGACACCACCCTGCAACTTGCAGCCGTCTCGGAATGGGAAAAGGTTAATACTACGGGTGCGTTCACCAAAATACCACGGCATCTGCTTCACGACGGACGCCGGAGAATGCCGCAAGGTTATTTTAAAGAAAGTAGGCCATGCGTGCGGTCACGGTACAAATTTGCTCTATTGGGAGAACACAGAGCTCGTGAGGTGTGTCGGTTTGATATACTGTGCGAGCGATGACATAATCTGAGAAACAATGATAACGCAGAAGGACAGCTAAACAGCAGACAGACACATGCAGAAAGACGGGCACGGACACATAACAGAGGGACATCAACACACAGGCAGACAGCCTGAAATACCTATAGACAGCAGACAGACAGACACAGGTAGGGCCCACAGGCTGCGTATATTGGAGGGAGAGTGCGGCACATCTGATCGAATGAGCGAATGCACCGAGCTGGGAGGACGGGGTGAACCCCACAAGCATCGCTCACCTGGTCGTCCAGCAGGAGCTCGCAGAACACGGGCAGGTACTTGGCCCACTCGACGAGCACCAGCAGCTGCTGCTTGATGGACTCGCAGATGTCCTGGATGCTGGCCACCTGCTTCAGGCTCAGGTCGCCGGAACCCCCGACCATCGGGGGCATGAACTGCGCACGGCGGTCGCACGCGGCGGCAGCGTTAGTGCTCGGCCGCCGGATGCGGGGGGGGGGGGCGGCTGAGAGGATGGACCCTCTGATCCAAGGATTATGACGATCGTAGTGCGTCTCCTTGTGTATCGAGGATTAACTGAGTCTCGAGGCTCTATACCACGAGGGTCCTGCATTGGCGTGTTGGGCCAACGATATTAACGGGTGTTTGCCTCGTGGGAGGAGAAACTGTATGCACACAAGGGGTAGTAATTCTCAAACACCACACGGATAGACTCAAGATTCCATGACTGTCCCTTCGCAGCTCAAACCCACACCCCCTTCCTGTTGTGAGTCAAGCAGTTGAACCGCATCAGGATCTCTTCACAAATTGATGGATTGATAATATACACCCCTGTGTGGCATCCTGGGAAATTAAATTAATGGACCTCCAATTTACACCTACACATATTTAACAATAATTAATATATTCCATATTCTTGGTTCTTTCGGTAAAGTCACGTAGAAGGGAAATAATAAAATAATAAAAATATAAAACAATAAAATTATCACGACGTTTCGATTGCAACACACGCAATTCAACACATTCCAGTCTATCGACCTTCCGGTTTCCAGGCTTAGGCGAACCAGCGGCGTTTGCTTCGAGCGGCTGTGATGGATCCGACGGGCCGATCTGTTGGCCGACTTGACTGACCGACTGAATTTCAACGGTGGCCCTGGGCTCCCGGCAAATCGTCGCTCTGGGTGGCGCGGTGTCCCCGCCCCCCTCACCTGTCGAGAGAGCGACTCGGCCTGCACGAACGTGTTGATGGAGGGCGACGTGGCGTCGTCCTGGCTGTTCCGCCGAGTGCTGATCCTGTCACGCTCGTTTTGTACTGCTGCAGGGTGTGGGGAGTGAGAGCAATAAGGGGTTCGGGTGCATGGATGGGTAAGTTATTTATACATTGGGAATCATGGTAATGTTTACAACACTCCGGCCGGGTGGTGCTATCGTCAGCCCAGCATCCCTCTTGAAGTTGATGAGTGCCACTATTACCGTGTTTCCGACTCGAATTGACTCGAGCGTACTCGAGTAGGCCTGAACTCTAACGATGGACAGCTTGAGGCAATGGAAACAGTGTGGTTATCACGATTTCCCGAGATAGTGGAGTCATCACGTAACCTGGGACAGGTCCTTCCCAGAAACCCGACCGAGGGACACTCAGCAAGAAATGCTCATGAGTGGGCCCCTGCTGGTGTGTGCCTCACTGGGCCTCCATCCCTACATTATCCCCCAAACCCCACCATCAAGCCACTGGCTTCTAGGCCAGCAGCACTATACCTAGGCAAACTTGCGGCCGCTTCACACACGCAGGAAACACCTGACCTCAGGCCCTTGCTGACTATGCACAGTCGGTGCCTGATAGGCCTTGCCAATCATGCCACCTTGAGTAGGAAGGAAGGGACTCTGGCTTGGGCTGTATAATTATTACGTGTGTAACAAATCAGCCACCAACCACGAAGTGATTCAATGAATTGTCACGTGACGCAGTTTGATTTAATTGGTAATTTGGTCTAAATTACACCGTCTTATTTACATTGTGTTTTTTTTGTCTCATTTGTAGATTGGTTCATTTATTTAGTGTGAATGTAACCATCTCATATACTGCGTTAACATGTAATAATTGTGCATGAATCGTAGGTAATCTATTCTTTATACACACAATTCAATGGGTGCGTCACAATCACAACACATTATTTAAAGAGTCGAATTGACGCATGCCCAAAACTGACAAGCGGGCCAATTTAAAGTGGCAATCGAACAGCACGGGGTAGAAACTAGAGCGGAACTTAAAAAAAAAACCAAGCCAGCAAAACGACGATGAGCGACTTGTTTTTCGAGTTGCGTTTACGTCACCGCTAGAGCAATAAAGAGGTGGTGATTCAAGGCTGCTCGGCCGTTATCACAGCCAGTGTCACGCAGTATCGACCCATGCAGTCATCGGGTGCCACAAAACATTAACGCGCCGTGCATTTAATTGCCTCTTGTTATGGCGCCGAGGACTTGAACGGCTCTCCGGTTTTTTCGGCAGGCCTCCTCTCTCCTCTCCCCACTCTCCCTGCCCTTCTCCCCAGTCCCCTCTCTCCCTGCCCCTCTCTCATCTCCCTACTCCCCGTGTACTTCTCTTCTCTCCTCGTTCCCCCTGCACTCCCTTCCGGGGCTTGGGTGCCGACACAGATAAAATGGTCGCATTAGGTATTTTTTGTTTTGAGGAAGGAGCACTGTACTACGTGGCAGCTGAAGAGGGTGGCAACGTTTCGAGAGCTCGAGTCTTAAGTGGTGCCTTCAATATGAAGCATCTACTGACGGCCGGAAAATAATTGTTTTGTTAAAAGATCACGCATGCGTCGCATTTATATCAAAACCCAAGTGCCTCCCTGCGCAAGAGAGCGTGCGCTGGCGATCATCTACGCGCTGATGGTCCTGAGCCAGTGGCTGTGAATCCGAACAGAAGGTCGCTGTGCTCATCTCCTCCAAAAGTGGCAGATTAAAAGCAACCCCCCCCCCCCATTCAATGACTCCGGGAAGCGTCGCAAACGATGGACAACCTCGTCAATTGGTTCCTCCTCCCGCTCATTCGGAGGAGGTAGATAAGCCACCCACAACGTCACCCCAGAGGCTCTTGGGCTGGCTAAAGAACCATGGCACAAACCTTTCGCAACTCCGCTTCTTCCCTACAATAAGTCTGCGGTGGTGGTGGTGGGAATTCCACATTCCTGTACCGGGGGGGACTATCCCTCCATATGACAACCAATGTTGACGTCCCACAAAGGGGTACCCCCCCCCCCACCCACTTTAGCAACCCCACAGGGACAATCGGATAAGTTGACGGCCTTATTGGGGTCTTTTCGATTTTAATCTGAGCTTGCCGAGCATCCAGCAGGACACTGGTATTGATCACGGTTTCTGAGTCATAAAATCAAGTTCAACTGGTGACAGGGCCTGAACTAAATGTTTGTACTCTCAATGATATGTTTCGTGGCACGAGTAACGTAATATGACCGCCCCTGTTCTCCCATATTGCACAGGCCCTTGACCTTCGCTTTATAGCTCAATTGCATTACAAGTACCTTTTTGAGTGTCAAATTCCATTTCCATATACTGCATCGTATTAATATTCGTATTTTATGATTGTTTGCGAAAGTTAAAGAGTAAATATCTCTTTTGGAAGTCTTTTCAAATGAGTGTTTTCATGTTTACATCATTGCCCATCAAATTTTCAATGAAAATGTTCAAGAAAGGTTTTTATTTTTATCTTATTTAACTCACCGTCTACATTTCAATAAGGCAATAACCACTTTTGAAATTGCAGGGCAAGAACAAGGCAGAGCCGATCGCAGCGCGCATTGTTCCAATCGCGGCGCGCATCTCCGCCTGCGTAATCGTGCCTGCCCTGCACTGCCTCCCACTAGGCAAGCCTTACATTATCCTGCTGGATGGAACCCGAGTCCCGTATGAGGGCTCCCTTCTCTGATCGCTGCTGCTGTGTCAGGAACATTGGGATCATGACATTTGTTATCAGCAGGGAGTGCGCAAGGTGTCGCGTGGGGGGGGGGCGGTGTTTTTAATCCCACATCATGCATCTGTACGCTTTATCCGAGCCAATAAGCTGTATCCGATAAGCAATAAAAAAAAACCGCACCTCAACTCTCCCATTCCACCAAGCACGGGGACGATAAGCGGGAACCCACGGCACTATCTCGCCGTCTGTTAAGGGCCTCCCTTATCACCCCGTGGCCAAGAGCATGGCGGCTGCAGAGCGGAGATGCAAGGTGAGCAAGGTGAGCAAGGTCGGCGCTGGCCCACCACGCGCCATGGACGAGGGGGGGGATGGGGGGGTGCTTTTAGCGAGGCCGAGATTGTATTGAGCACCGCGTCAGTTCCGTTACGAAAAATGAAAAATAAGAATAGGTCTTAATGTTTTATCCTTTATGGCAATAAAACAGGAGGTGTCCAGATATTCAAACGCCAAATAGAAACCTTTTCCAAGGATTCAAGTCTGCATTAACCACACGTACTTGTGGTGAACATGCAAACAAAACATCCTCTGACAATACTGTCTTTACCAATGTTTGACTTGCACGGTGCTACTGGTGCAGCAACAGATCATACAAAAGAGGTCGAGAGCGATGTACTTACGATTCAATATAAATGCAATTCCTTTAACATTGCTGCATACTGTCAATTCCCACACAAATGTGATTGTAGCATGGAGCACAAGCATCTAATAAGCACAATAATGGGTCTGTCTTTAATAGAACCTGAATAACCTTTCAAAGAAGTTTAGTGCACAGCATAAAACGTGCACACATAGGTGGAAGAGGTTATGTGTCTGCACGTCCCCCTTGTGACTTCAATATCACAGGCATGGTCACGTTCATGACACGTGACAGCCCAATTCAATTACGGATGGTCGACGCCCAGAGTTGAACCCAGCACATCGCACTGCCACTCACATTCAATCTGTCAGTGTCTCCCTGCTCAAACGAGCATGGACCGGTGATCATCTCCAATGACGGCCCTTGAGCCAGTGCTGCAAATTCCACATTCACATGGCAGGGGCTAGCGTGGACTTAGGACAAGCAGCAGTGAAATCCACTCGCTGACCTCCGACCGGGATTTAAAATCTCCGCAACTCTCCGATTGCAAGTCGTAGCGCTCTGCCATTAAGCGACCCCAGCCTGATGTTGCGCCTATACGATGGGATTGTATACGCCGCGAGTGTGTGTGTGCCTCAGCCAATCTTGCTGGCAAGCGGTGGAAGTGAATGGGCAGTTCCTTACCTTCTTTTTTCATGCCAGCACGGAAGCACTTTTTCAGGCGGCAGTACCGGCACTGGTTCCGCTTGTCCTTGTCCACCACGCACTGCCGGCTGTACCTGCACGTGCCACGCAACAACACCTCTAGAGCCACGCAACACACACCTCTAGAGCCACACCACACACACCTCTAGAGCCACACCACACACACCTCTAGAGCCACACCACACACACCTCTAGAGCCACACCACACACACCTCTAGAGCCACACCACACACACCTCTAGAGCCACACCACACACACCTCCAGAACCACACCACACACACCTCTAGAGCCGCACACACCTATAGAGCCACACCACACACACCTCTAGAGCCACACCACACACACCTCTAGAGCCACACCACACCACACCTCTAGAGTCACACCACACACACCTCTAGAGCCACACCACACCTCTAGAACCACACCACACACACCTCTAGAGCCACACACACTTCTAGAGCCACACCACACACACCTCTAGAGCCACACACACCTCTAGAGCCACACCACACACACCTCTAGAGCCACACCACACACACCTCGAGAGCCACACCACACACACCTCTAGAGCCACACCACACCTCTAGAGCCACACCACACACACCTCGAGAGCCACACCACACACACCTCTAGAGCCACACCACACACACCTCTAGAGTCACACCACACACACCTCTAGAGCCACACACACCTCTAGAGCCACACCACACACACCTCTAGAGCCACACCACACACACCTCTAGAGCCACACACACCTCTAGAGCCACACCACACCTCTAGAGCCACACCACACACACCTCTAGAGCCACACCACACACACCTCTAGAGCCACACCACACACACCTCTAGAGCCACACCACACACACCTCTAGAGCCACACCACACACACCTCTAGAGCCACACCACACACACCTCTAGAGCCACACCACATCTCTAGAGCCACACCACACACACCTCTAGAGCCACACCACACACACCTCTAGAGCCACACCACACCTCTAGAGCCACACCACACACACCTCTAGAGCCACACCACACACACCTCTAGAGCCACACCACACACACCTCTAGAGCCACACCACACACACCTCTAGAACCACACCACACACACCTCTAGAGCCACACACACCTCTAGAGCCACACCACACACACCTCTAGAGCCACACCACACACACCTCCAGAGCCACACCACACACACCTCTAGAGCCACACCACACACACCTCTAGAGCCACACCACACCTCTAGAGCCACACCACACACACCTCTAGAGCCACACCACACACACCTCTAGAGCCACACCACACACACCTCTAGAGCCACACCACCCCTCTAGAGCCACACCACACCTCTAGAGCCACACCACACACACCTCTAGAGCCACACCACACACACCTCTAGAGCCAAGTGACGTCATCCCAGTGCGGCCACAATGCGCTACAGGCCCGAGTGGTGGCTAGCAGCCGGGCTCCCAACTGTTGTTATTTATCATTACTACTAATCTTGATTTGAGGCTTTCGTGACTGCAGGAATTCATACTCTTTGGTTCTTTCGGTAAAGTCACGTAGATGGAAAATAAAAATAAATAAAAATAATCGATCACGACGTTTCGATTGCAACAACAAGCGTATTACCACCAGGTAAGGCCCCCCTGAGCTGTATAGCTATCAGAAGCGACCTGGCCACAAATGATAGCTCAAAAAGTGGCTCATCACGTGGAAAATTATAGCACCAAAATACTCGAAATTCATGTTCATTCTAAATGTGGCGGGAAAAACAGAGGACCCGGAGAAAAATTAACGTGACCATGGGGAGAAATAGACATGCAAACTCCAAATATACAGGCGTCAGAGTTGGGATTGAACCCACAACCCCCTGTATACAGTGAGGGAAAAGTATTTGATCCCTTGCTGATTTTGTACGTTTGCCCACTGACGAAGAAATGATCAGTCTATAATTTTAATTGTACGTTTATTTGAACAGTGAGAGACAGAATAACAACAAAAAAATCCAGCAAAACGCATGTCAAAAATGTTATAAATTGATTTGCATTTTAATGAGGGAAATAAGTATTTGACCCCTCTGCAAATCATGACTTAGTACATGATGGCAAAACCCTTGTAGGCAATCACAGAGGTCAGACGTTTCTTGTAGTTGGCCACCAGGTTTGCACACATCTCAGGAGGGATTTTGTCCCACTCCTCTTTGCAGATCTTCTCCAAGTCATTAAGGTTTCGAGGCTGACGTTTGGCAACTCGAACGTTCAGCTCCCTCCACAGATTTTCTATGGGATTAAGGTCTGGAGACTGGCTAGGCCACTCCAGGACCTTAATGTGCTTCTTCTTGAGCCACTCCTTTGTTGCCTTGGCCGTGTTTTTGGTCATTGTCATGCTGGAATACCCATCCACGACCCATTTTCAATGCCCTGGCTGAGGGAAGGAGGTTCTCACCCAAGATTTGACGGTACATGCCCCCGTCCATCGTCCCTTTGATGCGGTGAAGTTGTCCTGTCCCCTTAGCATAAAAACACCCCCAAAGCATAATGTTTCCACCTCCATGTTTGACGGTGGGGATGGTGTTCTTGGGGTCATAGGAAGCATTCCTCCTCCTCCAAACACGGCGAGTTGAGTTGATGCCAAAGAGCTCCATTTTGGTCTCATCTGACCATAACACTTTCACCCAGTTGTCCTCTGAATCATTCAGATGTTCATTGGCAAACTTCAGACGGGCATGTAAATGTGCTTTCTTGAGCAGGGGGACCTTGCGGGTGCTGCGGATTTCAGTCCTTCACGCGTAGTGTGTTACCAATTGTTTTCTTGGTGACTATGTTCCCAGCTGCCTTGAGATCATTGACAAAATCCTCCGGTGTAGTTCTGGGCTGATTCCTCACCGTTCTCATGATCATTGCAACTCCACGAGGTGAGATCTTGCATGGAGCCCCAAGCCGAGGGAGATTGACAGTTCTTTTGTGTTTCTTCCATTTGCGAATAATCGTACCAACTGTTGTCACCTTCTCACCAAGCTGCTTGGCAATGGTCTTGTAGCCCATTCCATCCTTGTGTAGGTCTACAATCTTGTCCCTGACATCCTTGGAGAGCTCTTTGGTCTTGGCCATGGTGGAGAGTTTGGAATCTGATTGATTGATTGCTTCTGTGGACAGGTGTCTTTTATACAGGTAACAAGCTGAGATTAGGAGCACTCCCTTTAAGAGTGTGCTCCTAATCTCAGTTCGATACAGGTATAAAAGAAACCTGGGAGCCAGAAATCTTTCTGATTGAGAGGGGGTCAAATACTTATTTCCCTCATTAAAATGCAAATCAATTTATAACATTTTTGACATGCGTTTTTCTGGATTTTTGTTGTTATTCTGTCTTTCACTGTTCAAATAAACCTACCATTAAAATTATAGACTGATCATTTCTTTGTCAGTGGGCAAACGTACAAAATCAGCAGGGGATCAAATACTTTTTTCCCTCACTGTACCAGGCCAGGTAGTTAATTATCTCGTCACCGCGACGCACTGTGTCTGTTTACATTCTAATACAGTATAACTGTACATTCCAACGCTGAAAGCTTACTTTTCAGCATTGGGATGTACAGTTATCATGTATGGTGTTATGGCTATGGGAGGAAACCACAGAATCTGGAGGAAACCCATGCAGAACAGGGCGAGAACATACAAACTCCATAGAGAAAGGCACCCGAGTTGGGAATAAAACTCAGGTACCTTCATCCTGTAAGGCAGAAGTGTTATCGCTCAGCCACCCTACCACCCTGTGAGGCCACAAGTTCAAATCCCAGGCTTGGTCAACTCAACCTATCATCATCAACGTTATTTTTGGCATCATTGCCAACATCATCATCATCATCATTGCCACCGTTGACATCAACGTTGTCTGCGGTTGGTGAGATGAGCACCAGTATCGAAGTGACACGGAGTGGATTGATTCCTGCCCTATTACTTGGAATGTCCAACGACGGGGTTCAACGCCACCAACGAGGATGAGCACTGCCCTAATGCTCATTATTATCATGGGAACGCCGACTTCTTTGGGCACAAAACAGGTTTATGATTTATAGGGCTATATGACGCATACAGTGCGTGTATATTATATTTTATGGTGTTTGCGTTTGAGAAGTGCAGGCATATCTTTAAGGGTGTCATGTGCATCGCTGTCAGTGGCTTGGGAGGTGAGGTGTCCGTTGCGTATATGGCACACAATAAAGCGGTCTTGCCTTTTTCCCCCTTCGTTTTCTGTTATGAGGTGCACGGCTCCGCACGTAATCCCGCCTCGCATAGCCAAGCCATTCTTCCCGCTCCTAACAAAGGACCTGGCTGAGCCCCGAGCCGGCGGTGGAAATTCCACGTTCCCGTGACGGTGTCCGCCAGCCGCTTAAATAGCGGACACTCCCGCTGCTAATCCAAGCCCCGCGCTATATTTTTTCTTTAGTGCTGTATTTTAACGCGCCCATTTATTTATTAACATGCCAGCACTATCTGGTACAGGAATGTTCATGGCGGGCAATAAAGGGTGAATATACAGCTGTGCCCTTACCAGTAGTTGGGGAGGTATTACTTATTGCAGGTAGTTATGTATGGTCGTTAAACTTGTACACAATGACCTTAATTGTAGGGGTTAAACTATAGTGAGAAGGCATTCCTTTTTGAACTCTGACATCATCATTCCTGATACACTGTCATGGCCCGCTGAGAATACGGAACTTGGAGAGGTGGGAACGAAACAACTCCTCCCGAGCGAGAGGGTGCATGGGAAAGACGGTGACGGCAGTGAAGGACGTGGTCAACCACAAGGGGCGGTACATTAAGTTGTCTACGCATTTCTAATCGGCTAATAATGCGAAGACATCAAACATTATGACGATGATGTACGTATGTTGCACTTCTTTCACACCGTACATAGCCGACCGTGTTAATCGGAGGTTCTAAAGAAATAGCTCCAGGAGTTTCCTAATAACAATGATGATGTGCGTGATGAGGAAGATGATGGTGATGATGATTGTGGTTATGATGATCACGTGGGTGATGATTATGCCGAAGGTGACGTGAGTGACAAAAGCGATGATGATATTTACCGAAACTGTCATCAACGCTCTCGCTGTGTCTACTCGCTCTCCTTCAATTGCATCTGTGCTACTGACCAAATCCGTTCATTTACAATTTCCTCATTTACACTTTTATAGCAGCATTCAGAGTTACCGCGTTGGCGCGCCATGTTTAAGGGACGTGCCAAGGTTAAGGGCACTGTATACGGTAACCGGTTGCGGCACCATTGACACTGAAAACGCTTAGCTCGATGCGTTTCAGAGTGTACCACGTTGGCATTGACTTATCCTTTGTGACGGAAAGCCTCACTCAGTTGTAAGTCTAATTTTGTAAGGTCCTACTTAGACCTGGAACACTTGTAGCAAATTCATGTATTGCCTCTTAAAACGCAGCAATACCGTGTCTCTCAAGGTAGGAGTCTCACACATGCTGGATCCATCTCTGTATGATCCACCATCCCTACCTCCAATCACTAGATTGTTGATGTGCTCACCACATGATGATGATCGTGAACAATGATAAAAAGATAATTTTTCACAATTATGGTAACGATAATGTGGCAATAATAGCAATAATAGTTATTAGTTGGCAACTCGGAATCCATCTCCTTTGGAATTTCAATGAACTGAAACAAATATGTAGTTGCAATTCAACTCAAGAATCGCTCCTTTGCCATCTTGGAGAAGGCTTGCATCAATAGTGACTGTGGGATTCATGCGAACAAATTAGTACTTACAACATATACAATCTACAAGATCGGAAACTTAAACCCACAACTCGTTGCGTGTGTTGTAACCAGAAATTATTTAAAAACACAAATCCGTGCATAGTTGTCAATGACACCGATGATGACAGTGACGGCAATGACCAAGAATGTCTTCTTGCTCATAGCGGGGAGTTGATAAAACAACGTTTTTTACGTTCATTAAACGCTGCCAGTGAATGATCGAAGCGAGCAGCGGTGTTACTATGTGGTCCGCGGTGTGAGTCACAGCGTGGGCCACAAGTACGGTGCTAATATTGGCGCGGTAATTTTTAGTAAAATTCACTGCCGAGGTGCGTGGGAGAAAATAAAAACCCCCACCCAAAAAATCCACGCAAGCAAAAGGCCACGGGACATAGGGAAGAAAGAAAAAAAAACATCTCCAAGAGTTTGTGGATTTCATTCGGCCCTACGATTTCCCGTGACCACCTTGGACCTCCGCGAGCCCTCCGAGCCCCAAAAAACACCGGAGCCTCGCGCGGCCCCACGTCTCGCCCACTGCGCACCTGCAGGAGTACATGTGGTTCTTGCGGATGCTGCGGCGGAAGAACCCCTTGCAGCCGTCGCAGCTCGAGGCGCCGTAGTGCTTGCCCGTGGCGCGGTCCCCGCAGATGGCGCAGAACGACATGGTGCCGCCGCCGCTAGCCAAGCCGCCCGGCGCGTCGCCCCCGTTTGCCGCGCCAGCTATGCTGCCGGGGTCCACGGGGGTCATGTCTCCTGCGGGGAGCGAAGACGAAGCTTAAGACACAACCGCGGGGGGGGCAGAGGAGAGGTGGCAGGCCGGCACGGGGGGAGGGGGTGGGGTGGATCTATTAAACTAAAAAATATTTAAATCTTTTTGTTTCTATCAGGTAAGGCCCACTGAGCCGTGTAGCTCGTTTTCATATGCGACCTGGCCATCACAAATGATAGCTTCACGAAGTGGGTTATCATCATCCGTAAATTTATGGCAGCCAAATACTCTAAACGCACATTGATTCTCAATGTAGAGGGAAAAACCGGAGTACCCGGAAAAAAAAAATCCACGCCATCACGGGAACGTGCAAATTCCAAGTATACAGGCGTCAGGGTCGGGATCGGACCCACGACCTCCTGTAATACCAGGTGAGGTAGTTAACATCTCACCACCGTGGCCACCCTTCACTCATAAAACCCAGTGCCTCTAGGTTGACAGCCGGGTCAGTGACGCCGAGTCGACAGGCCCCAGACCCAACGCTGGGTGGCTGGCGCACACGATGTTGGATCCTCGGGTGTGGCGAGGTGATGGCGCCAAGCAACAACCGTAACGACTCGGGCTTGACGCCGGATTCGACAAAATTCCGGCTCTGAGAATCAAACCTATCGATTTGACCGTCACGTGACAAACGCGTGGTTTCACACTTCTCTGGGAGAGTTCCCAATTGATGCTCGATGCGATGGTGTGACACCAGTATTCCAGTTGGAATCAAATTGGGCAGCAAAAGACAACGATAAATTATAATGCACTGACATACAACGGTGAAGGCACGGGGGAGACGGGACGAGGCAGTGTGTGAGGTGGAGCCAATGGGGCGTTTCTCCGATGAAAGAAGCATCGTTAGCACTGACAGAGCGTGGCGCGTGTTTGACGAGGCGAGAAATCCACTTTGGATTTGTGCCTTTTTTATTGAGGCAATGCGCGGGCAGTTTACATTGCGTTGTGATGCACGTTTACATTGCGTTGTGATGCACGTTACATTGCGTTGTGATGCACGTTACATTGCGTTGTGATGCACGTTACATTGCGTTGTGATACACGTTTACATTGCGTTGTGATGCACGTTTACATTGCGTTATGATGCACGTTACATTGCGTTGTGATGCACGTTTACATTGCGTTGTGATACACGTTACATTGCGTTGTGATGCACGTTTACATTGCGTTGCGATGCACGTTACATTGCGTTGTGATACACGTTTACATTGCGTTGTGATACATGTTTACATTGCGTTGTGATGCACGTTACATTGCGTTGTGATGCACGTTTACATTGCGTTGTGATGCACGTTTACATTGCGTTGTGATGCACGTTTACATTGCGTTGTGATGCACGTTTACATTGCGTTGTGATGCACGTTTACATTGCGTTGTGATGCACGTTTACATTGCGTTGTGATGCACGTTTACATTGCGTTGTGATGCACGTTTACATTGCGTTGTGATGCACGTTTACATTGCGTTGTGATGCACGTTTACATTGCGTTGTGATGCACGTTTACATTGTGTTGTGATGCACGTTACATTGCGTTGTGATGCACGTTACATTGCGTTGATGCACGTTACATTGTGTTGTGATGCACGTTTACATTGCGTTATGATGCACGTTTACACACCGTCAACGTAAACTAAACCGGCTATAAAAAGCAGGGGATAGAAAGATGGGGAATGGACCCGCTGCCCCAGACCAGGTGAGGACCCACCGAAAGTGGTAAGGGTAGTTGGATTTTTACATTCTTTGGTTCTTTCGGTAAAGTCACATGACTTTACCGAAAGAACCAAAGATTATGGATTCCTGCAGTCACAAAAACTTCAAATATAGAACTTTGTTTTCTCAGATCAACCCAAGAAAACAACCAATGCAAGGAAAGACAACCACATGCTGCCCAGCCTGGACATAGAAACTCCTTGCCCAGTTACACTCTACTCCGGCAAACACAAACTCATTCTTATAGATCAGTGCACACTGTCCGGGGTACCGGTGGTGGTGGTGCTGCTGCTGCTGCTACAAAGGCTGGCCACCGACCCCTTCGTGTGCCATGCCGGCCTTCATAGGCGCTCGCCAACAGCACTTGCCGCCAAACATCTGTGAAGACTTTGCCTTTGCTGTTCAAGGTTGAAAATGGAAGATCTGAACATATACCTGACCCACCACAGCAGCCAGACCATCGTCTCCGTGCAGCGTGCGTGGATGAGAAGATTCACACTGTTGCCGGGTGGACAAAGGCGACGGGCAGCTGGAAGAACCCATCGCTCATCAAACCCAGTGCCTCCAGGTCGACAGCCTGCGGATACTAGCGGCTGTGCCTTGGTATAAAACCTTATGGTGCAGCCCTGCGTGCTTTTGCTCCATCCACTGCTGGCGGAAGGGCCTCCATTAGAGAGAGCTGTATAGAGCCCCGAAATATGGATTTTTTTTGGCCTACTCTTCCACGATCGCCACACCATGGCCCAGCACCTTGGTGCACCTTGGTGCTGGGCCATGGTGGAGAGATGTTGATTACGTTGCCTGGCATACAGAAGGTTGTGGGTTCGATCACAACCCTGACTGACGCCTATATATTTGGAGTTTGTATGTTATTCCCGTGGTCGCTCGGATTTTACTCCAAGTCCTCCGTTTTTACTCTCCACATTAAGAAACATCCGTTTAAAGTGTTTGGCTGCTAGAAAAATCCACGTGATAAGCCACTTCGTTGAGCTGTCATTTGTGGCCAGGTCGCTTCTAAAAAAGAGCTACATAGCTCAGTGGGCCTTGCATGGCAAAATGAAAAATATTTTTTTCATAATTTTGAATACAGAAAATGCTGTAACGTGAATCCTTCACGCTTGCGAACAATTCTTGAGTAACGCTGCTTAAATGATCACATGCCGGGGCCGGTTTCTGTTGGGAATTTTCACATTTTTATGATGGGGGTCCAGTTTCTCAATGACACTCAGTGTTGACTGTCTGCAGAGTTGTATAATGGTACTCGTAATAAAATAAACAAAAGTATGTCTTAAGGATATGCGCATTTTCAAAGTCAACATAACACCATTAATCGATCCTATGCTCTTGATACAAGTATCGAATCGTATGTGTAAAGAACAATTATTTATGATGTATGCAAATGCCATCCTATTGCCGTAAATACAGCAATAGATTGTGAAGTCGATTTGGCAAAACACTTAGAGGCAGTTAAAAATTATGCAACACAATAATTTATTTTGAAAGCTTCACGACCCCAAATCGTGACATTCCATGGAATCACTGGGGGGGGGGGGGGGGGGGTTGTGGATAAATCAATAGAGTGCCGATTATTTAAACAACGTACAGAATTAAGAAAGAAGTTCAACATGCATGGTCCCCAAAGGTATTTAAAATAATATATAAATAGTAAAATGTGTGGTTGTTTTTAAGTCAGCACTCACAAGCTCCCCATGTTCATTGACCTTCTGTAGCAAATCTACATCCACTTATTCGTGTGGCGGTTGCAGCATTCACCAAGACAGTGGATAAAGATTCACAGCTGGTGATGCATTACCGTTTGCTCATTCACCAGGGCATCGGCCAAAACCTCCTAAACTGCAACCGCACCTTGCCAGAATTCCACGAAATTGCATCGACGCCCAGACACTTCCACAAAAAATTCAGCCGTGCAGCACAAGTATTTTTTTCTTGGGGGCGGCAATAAATAGAAGAGCAAACACATTTATGGGGGTAACATCCTCTAACAAGCCATGCGGCGACCTCGCTGATCACAAGGTGTCCTCTCTTAGTGCCCTCCTAACGACACATTCATTACCCGCAAGCTGTTACCCCAGCGCCAGCAGCCGACGTGGAGCTATCTCGCTCCCCCTCTTCTCAGATTCTCCTTTTGCGCGTTTTTTTGTTGTTGTTGTCCCGTGCAGCGCGAGCGCTAACATCGAGAGGCAGGGGACGGTTAAAGCGTCAAGCAAGAGGAACTTCGCATCGCCAATCATTAGCCCATCCCGTAACCGAGCCACATAGCGCAACTGATTTAACACGAAAAATAAAAAAACCCTCAGCACTGAGTAAAAAGTAAAAAAAAGGAGAAATCTGCTCCGTAAGCCATTTGTTCCAGTTACTCAGCAAACTTCGCGAAATGCACACTCGGTTCTGGTTCACTTGGGAGGTTGCATGAAAAATGCTCCGTAGAGAGAAAAACAACTTTTCTGGCAAAGCCGAGCGAGGGACGGAGCCGCGCCAGGCACGCGCGCGAACACGCTCCGGACGCGAGACCGCGTGCGGAGACCCACTGCTCCGTGAGATGCGCGGCGGCCGGGGAGACGCAGCGACCCCCCGCGCGCCACGCCGGCTTGGAACCGGTGCGGCTGAGTTCCTAGGTTCGAAACCATCTGGCGTTACAAACGAGACTGTGACGTGCAGCAACACGATGGTCCCCACCCAGGCCCAATCGCAAGTGACTGCATACGCACGTCGAAAAATAAAACAACACCCAGGAGATACGGTGAACGATAGCGCCTTAGATGGCTGTAGGGGGTGATGGGAACCTATTACATACAATTTACAGCCCTTTGCTATTCCATCGATGGCTGTTGGGCTTTCCTTGCTTTTTCTGATCAATTGCAAGATTGTAACATGGTGTAATTAATAGCGCACATGGACAGCCCTCTTTGTCATGAGTTCACTGCTGGATGAGTGCACATGGACAGCCCTCTTTGTCACGAGTTCACTGCTGGATGAGGGCCTCCCTATGCCTTGCGGGCTGTTGAAGGATATTTGACCATGTTGGTCAGTGTGGGTTGAAGTTGCAAGAAGTGCAGATAAACAATTGACTTTTCAGCACGAACCCTCTACTGCCCACAATGCCTCTTACAACTGTCTATTAGCCATGGTGTTCACTCATCCAAGGACTATACAGGCCCAACCTGCTTAGCTTCTTAGATATGATGAGATTAAAAGCATTCAAATTGGGATTATTCATAGGAATCGCCCCCTACTGGCAGACTCATGCCCCAG